CTTTAAATCTTCCTTTCTTAAAATACCTGGATGTGTATCAATCGATGTCTGTGCATGTTTTAAGAAACTTTACCCTCGCTCAGAAATAGAAAAGGGAAGTTCACTGAAGTTCTACTTAAAATTATGTGGGCTCGAGAGTAAGGCTAATATGCCTTTTAACAGATTATGGAACTACTATTCTAAGACAAAAAAACTCTCTTCTGATATAACTGCTAGAAATATGTATGAGGTAGCAAACTATTGTATTATAGATGCGTTGCGTTGCCAAGAACTTGCAGTCAAACGCAATGTAATTAATGATTATAGAGAAGTTGCCTCTATAGCTTATGTATCTTTATTTGATACACATTATCATGCAAATAGAATGAAGGTAAGAAATCTTCTGAGTGCTTATGCCACCAAACGCAATATGTTATTTAGTACAATTTGCTACAAAGATAAAGAAAAGGAAAGTATTCAGGAGCATATGTTTTTTTCTCAATAAAAGGTATTGAGAATAAGCATCCCATTACAGATCTCGATTTTGCTTTATTATATCCCAGCCTTATTATGGCTTACAATCTTTCACCTGAAAAATTAATATTGAGCTGTGAAGAGGCTAATAATATACGTGGAAAAGGAATTGAATTATATGAGATTAAATTTCCATTTAATGGGCGTATTCTTTATGCCTGGGCTGTCCGTTATGGCAATTGTTTTGAGAAAAAAGGATTATATCCTACCATTCTAGAGGATCTGTTTAATAAACTAGTAAACCTTAAATCAAAGTTTGCCATACTACGAAAAGAGAAGGAGTATCTTGAAAAGCTTATAAGCACCATAGAAGAGAAGGGTAAAATTGTACTGAATTCTTTAAAATCAAAACATGATTCTCTATGCTTTGATTATAATTGCTTAAACTCAAAACAATTTGCTCTGAAGGTGTATATAAATACATTTTATGGCGAGGCAGGTAATAGTAACTCTCCATTCTTTCTTTGTGAATTAGCTGGAGGAATTACTTCAGCAGGACAATACAATATTGGTCTTGTTGCTAGATTCGTTATAGCGAAAGGCTTTGGGATCAAGTATGGTGACACTGACTCTTTATATCTTACCTGCCCAGATAAGTATTACAAAAAATGTGATAGAGATTATAATAAAAACAACTTTCCAAAGAGGCATATTGGAGTGAAATGGTAAAAATTACTATGAAGGTGATGGATGAATTTCGTAACAAAGTAAAAGCTTATCTTAGAATAAAAAATGGTACCTCTTATCTAAAAATAACGTATGAGGAAGTATTGTTCCCTGTATGTTTTATCAGTAAAAAGAAATACTTTGGAGTTGCACATGAGGAAATAGTAAATTTCAAGCCAAAAAAGCTATTTACTAAAGGTATTGATACTGTAAAGCAAGGTCAAACGGAGCTTTTCAGATTCGTTGGAGAGAAAATCATGAGGGAGGCAATGAATATCGATAATACATGCACAATCCATCAAATCGTCGAAGATACTATTAGAGAAGCTAGTAGAAAGCAATAGAATTTTAACCAATTTATTGCGATAGCTACATGGAAGCCTAATAAAGATAATAAATGTATTTAGTGCTTTATGGAACAGATGAAAGAAAATTATGAAAACAAGATTCCTGATTCAGGTGAACACTTTAGTTATGTGGTTGTGAAAGGTGAACAGTATCATGATGAAAATGGTCGATTAATACCACATAGAAATGCTGACTATATGAAGTTTTCTGATACTGCAAAAGAACAAAATATGGAAATAGATATCAACTATTACTTAGAAAAGACGGTTGGAATGTGTGCATGCTTTATTAATGAGGATGAAAAATATCAACCACCTTCTTCACATAAAATTATACAACTTAAAGATTCAGATGAAAAAGAGAAGCAGATTGATGTCTATTCCCAGAACGAGGCAAAAAAATGGCTTAAAAAATATATAAAAACTTTACAATAAACATTCTAGGTATTTTGATGATTCGTCCGAAGTGGATATAAACAAAACCATCGAATTATATAGATAAGTACTCTTAGCTAAAACTTCTACACTCCTGTTAGAAAACTTATAATATGTATTATTTATTTTTTTTTTCTCATACAATAATACTGGCTAACTTCAATTTTATTTCTAGTCTTATGACCAGCCTCTATATATCGGAGTTGGAAAAAATAAAGGATGTATACTTGAGCAGAGGATCATTGAGAGTAGTAGCTGAGTTAAATTTGGCATTTTTTCCTTTTTTTCTCATTTCATTTGAAAAAAAATAATTTGAAGAAGAGCAATTTTAAAAATATGTTTTTTTGAGCTTGCGAAAAAAACAGCCTATTTTGCAAATTTCTGTACATGATATTCTATTGTACTTATAAAATGCAAGACGGAATTGATACTAAAGCTTTGGCATATGCCCAAAAGTGTGAAGGAAGATGCTTAGCTAAAGTTAGTCCTAATACATATTTATGGGCATGTAAAAAAAAACATCAATGGGAGGCATCATATAAAAATATGAAACAGAATTACCGATGGTATAATATTTGCCCTAATGTATCAGAAAGAACATGCTGGTATATATTTGAGGATTTATTACATAAAAAATTTCCTTTTCAAAAACCTAAATTCTTAAAAAGATTACATCTAGATGAGTATAATGAGGAGCTAGACTTGGCCTTTGAATATAGTGGTAATCAGCATTATCAAATTGTGCCTTTTTTCCATCTGCAAGGGCAGATGAATCTAGATGCACAAATTTGTCATGATTGGGAAAAGAGGGCATTATGCTACAAGGAAGGAGTAATTCTCATTACTATACCCTACTGCGTAATAGACTTAGAAACATTTATAAAGAGCACCTTATATGCATTCGGTTATCTCTCAATATTCACTTAAAAGGCAACATAGGCTCTTTCTTAATATGCATTAATTGTTCTCTTACAAAGGGACGCCGAGGTCCCAATTCATCTAAATAATATAAAATGGGCATGGGAGGATTTTTTCCAACAACAATTCTTCGGATTTTATGTAGGCTGGGAGACCATATTGGATCTGTTATTCTATGTCGTTCAAAAGGATCATTTTCCCATTCTCCAAAAGCAAGCAAAAATCAGATAGTAGTACCCTTTGATAGTCGCAGTTCATCAACACCTATCAGGTGATTATATTTTATCGATGGTTTGAAATATACCTGCTCAAGTTTTGTGGCCTTATTGGGACTCATTCCAATTAACCGAGTAGTAGTATCATTCATGTTATCAACAATTCTTCTTGCAAATCGTTCACATTCTCTACAGCATTCGCCGATAGGTAAGAGAAACTCTATTGCATACTGGTTTTTAAAAACTCTTAATTCGAATAATCTGGCATAACGATCAACTATAGCCATGCTTGAATGTCTAAAACATACTTTAATTCTTCAGATATTAATATTGTGTTCATCTATTATCAATGTCACATTTCCTATAAGCTCACAACCTTGATCAGATTGCAATAGCCGAGGCCAGTTAAGAGGGTTGTCGGAGTTATCATATATACTTTTAAATGCTTCTGTAACTTCTTCACTACTTTTTGATGTTAAAAAAATGAAATTTTTATATCTAGTCGCACAGTCTATAACCAATAGTACATAGTAAAATATTGGGCCATTATCCAACAAACCCGTATCTACTTCTTTATCATATGGTATTTCAATTAAATCACACTGATGTACAGAATTCAGTTTTGTAATTTTAGAGTAACTGGCATAAGGTATATTCTTTGATGAAGAACGAAAAATTTGATACATTGCTTGGCCATCAAGCTATTTTTTTACATCATTAAATAGAAATTTATAGTCAGCTTTTTTACAAGCATCCCACAATCCGTCAACATTTTGATAAAGACCCTCAGGCCGATAATAAAGCTCCTGTAAAGTGAGATCCTAGTCAAGATCACATGCTTTTTGAGAATCAATAATAATCGTAGGTTTTGATAATAACAAATTTCTGAGACCGCCAGTCCTGGAAAAATCTTTAACTTTTTTTTTCTTAGCAATTTCTTGATCCAGTTTATATGCTTTTTGTAGATCGATATAAATTAAGGTTTTTCCATTATACTATAGTAAAAAAATATAGCGGAATTACAGCAAAGTAATCAAAAACTCTATGAGGTAGTATCACAATTAGCAGAATCAAATAGAAATTTCGAACAGCGTCTATATACCCTAGAAAGAATTATCAGCATATGGGAGGAAAGAATACAGTTTCTTGAAGAAGAGTTAAATAATACTATTGAAGCTTCTATAGAAGAGAAAGAGAAGTTAAAGAAAGAGATTTCAAAACTAAAAAGAATCGTTCACTTGCTTGAGGAAGAAAATAAAAAGAAAGATAAAGAAATTTCAAATAAGAATGAGTTAATAATAGAATTCGATGAACAAGAGACAAAATTAAAAAATCGAATACAGGAGATATTCAAATCTGCAGGTAATACCCCCAAAGCACAAGATTATACAACCAGATTAGTGGATGAGAATGAACGGCTTAAACAAGAAATAAATACAATAAGGACCAATCAAATAAATAGAATTAACAAAATAACCCAACAAAAAAACTGTATTACAGACCTGCTTTGTCAAAATTTTGCATTAGCATTATTAAGATATCGAGATAAATTAGAACTTAGAAATACACAAAAGGCTTTACAAAATATATAGGCATGGAATTTTGGCGAAAATGAATCTGATTCTGATAAAAATTCTTTAGACTTATATAATTCTGATGATAATATGGTCACAATAGCCGAGTTGGCTGATGCAATAGACTGATCCCTAAATGATACAACAATATGTAGAACTGTTTTAACAAATCAAATTAAATATCAACAAGATCAATCCGACGTAAATACACTAACCTGCAACAAGAACTGGTGAATGAATAATGGAACCATGATATATATAGGCAGAAGCGCGATGAAGTGGTGCAGAAGCATGATCAGTTACAGACCAATGCTCAGAATCAAGTAAACAGAATGATAAATAATATAGCAAGAAAGCAAACCCATATCGGTGAATTGCTAGGAGAAAAGCTAGCCCTTCAGCTAATATATCAAAGGTGTAAAGCTAAGGTTGACTTGGCAGAATTCAATCGTGCCTAGGTATTTAATTGGTATCAAAAATGGAAGGCTCGTGAAATTAATTCTTGTCAAAATATTTTAATTTTAAATTAACAAATTTTGGCGCTACATAATAATCAACAAAATCGAAGAAATATGGCAAGAATATCACAACCATTTTTTGACTAGGGTGATGATATCTCAGATTTTCTTGTGAAGCTAAGATTATACTTGCAAAACCAAGGTGTAAATCCAGCAGATAATGCAGGAGGTCCACCAACAGGAAGAGAAGTAGCTATGGGATATTTAAGAGGCTGTATGAGAGGAAGAACTTTAGAATAGTTTGATGAAGAAATTACTACAAAGCAAAATTGGGAATTAGCAAACTTACTTGATAATATGGGGTAAGCTAACATAGTAGCTGTAAATGGATATACAGCTATTCAGATAGGAGCTAATGGAATAAATGAGGCCCTTAATCAGCCAGGAAATGCAATAGTTAAGTTAAGAGCAGTAGAAGGTTCTTGGGATGAAAACTGGCGTATAGCGGGAGGCCGACCTACTAATAATGCTCCAAATGCTCCTAATGCTAATGCTGGTAATACTGTAGTTGCACCTGAAATTCATTTTGGTCAAGCCGTATGGTGGTTAAAAACTCATTTTCCTACAGTAGAAGAGGAGCTTCGGGATATAATGTATGGAACAATCAAAAAGGAGAACATAACTATAGATGAATTATATAGAAAAATATTACGAATAGGTAGACGAGCCAACTATAGATCTGAAAAATTACATAGAAAGTTCTTAGATGCTCTTCTACTTCCATGGTTTGAAAAAGCTGAAGATATCGATGAACATTTGCTATTGGATGAATTAGCTAAAAAACTTTATGAGATAGAATTATGCCGAATAGCTAGACATAAAAAAGATAAAATACCTAATTCATTAGTTTCTCAGCAAGCATCTCGAGAAATATATGAACTCTTACCTATTTCAGCTTCTCAACAGCAAGGAATTTCTTTAGAAGATATGCAAAAAGCAATCCAAAATGCACTAGCATAGCAAAAAACTAAATACCAGTCTTTATTAGAAAAGCAAAAAGCCGATTACCAATCACAAATAGCATAAGCACCTGCTCCACAGATAGTAGAACCAGTTAGACAACCGAGAGGTCTCCTATCATCTTTGCAATCAGAAAAAGGTCTCAAAAATTATTATGTAGCCGAATACTTAAAAGAATTAAGTTTATTAAATAAGAATGATTTAGACTCAGCTTATTCTGTAAAACCCTTTCAAAGACCTTGCCCTCAACGAAATGAAATTTCTGCTAGGATTGATAGAATAGAAAAAGCAATCAATAAAGATAGAGATATGGTAAATCAATTAACTAATCAACTTCAAAAAATATACATACGTAAATATGTTATTTGCGGATAGACAGGCTATAGTAAAGATAGTTGCCCTAATAGACAGATAGTACGATCTAATTTCAATCGGTCTGCTTATTTTAAGCCTCTTATGCCTATAAATTTCCAAAACAACCCCCATATTCGGATAATGAGGAAGAAGGTTATGATGAAGAAAATAATAGATAGACTGGGTATGATCCACTGGAAAAAAAACAGGTATCAATAGAAAATAACAAGCCTGAGACGTATAATCAGCTATTGTCTAAGCTTTCATCATCAATCCGAAAAATGTGCTTATCTCGAAAGGCTCTGGAGAAGAAGTCAAAAAAATCAGATGAGTGGTTTTCATCTTTACAGTACTTCCATTGTAATATAAATAATCTATTGATTTCTGATTCTTTTTTAGATACTGGAAGTGAATTCAGTGTTTTAAATAATTCAGCAATTCATACACTTGGATGGAAGATTGATGAGCCATCCAATTTTGCTATAAAGGGCAATTCCAAACATATTACTAATTCGTTAGGATGGTATATGAATGTGCCGGTTACTATGAAGGACAAAGAGGGAAAGACAGTCATGATCATTGGAAATTTTGTACGTATAGATAATGGCGAACCTGAACCAATGCTAATTTTAGGTATGTCTAATATTCGAAAGCTCCAAGGTGTTTCTGAGCCAAATAAAAACCAGTTCTGCATAAAGTTATATGGGAAGACTTATGTTATTCCAACATATAGCAAGGCCCCAGTAGCTAAAGAACTGTCAAAAGAAGAGCAGAACCAAGTATCTACTGATTCCTCTAGCCTGATTAGTGAAGACTTAAAAAAAGTGTGTAAACTGCATAAATTATGCTTTAGTGCCTTTGGGTGAGGATATGGGAATTCATGTAAAAGAGCTTGAAAAAGCACTATTTTCTAGCATTCAATCGAATTTGAAAATTATAGGATACTACAATATTTTGCTTAATCGATATGAAAAGATTTCTCTAGGACCAAATAAGGTTGAATAATTACACTTTTTTCTCGCAAGCTTGAAAAAAGAAAAAAGTAAATACTTTTCTGAATACATGTATTTAATATATAGTGATTGGACGCAAATCATCTAACTCTCCCCGTAGATCACTAAAACCAACTTTTCTCTAACAAACAATTCAACTTTTCTCAAT